AGCAGTAATTTGCCGATGTTCTATACACCAAGAGACATGAAGAAATATGGCTGTCATTGTCGATATTCGTCTAGAATACACTATCTTATTATAAATGTATTTTCATAAATCTAAGATGAAGATTGGCAAGTCCGTGTTTCTCCACAAACCGAACCTATGTGCCCTATCGTAATTACCCGGTTAACGCAAAGTCGATGGTTACGATACCCTTGTTTACTTTCCTATTCTGAACTTCAAGAGGTCAATATATCTTTTACTCTTTCATTTCTTGTTCAACGCATCATTCATTATTCTTATTTGGGGGGGGGGGTTACAGTAATATTAAAGGACTATAAAATATATGCCCAACCCCCTTCCCCACAAAAAAAGTCATTACATCGATCCTTTCAGTTCCATATCGATCGGTAAATGTGATTGTGAAAATGATTTTGAAACTGATCTATTTAACATTCTGATATTGTTCAAACCTTTTTTATATATGATAGATTATGTTTTCCTTTCCGACACTCGCGACAGATTTTGAATTATCGGAAAACAGCAATCAATATGAAAACTACTAACGAAATATTCCAGTTCGTTGTAACTTCAATCCGAACCATGGATACCACAACCGGACGACATATTGCTTCCGTTCATATCACACTTTCTTGATAGTTCCTTTCATACGTTAGAAACGGAAAGATAAAATGACGCGTTGGGCCTGGAAAAAGAAATCCGGCTCCCGCCGGTTTCCTCCGGTCACGACCTGTTACCACCTCAATAAGTTAGGGAACCCACCTCGCATCCGGTCCGTGTGATTATGACTGGAAGCAATGGATCAATTTCCACATGTGCTGGGGACAGTGATGCACGATTCTCATCTCGGTGGTTCCTGAAAACAATCTCAGATTGGATATGGACTTCACGTTTCAGCAAAAACTTTGGCAAAGGACACAAAATTTTTCATCTGTGTGTTATTTTCTTAGAATGACTGATATTTGGAGATATATTTGTACAAGGACATTTTAATTTGCAAACAGATTTGATAAAGATACAAGTAACGTTAATTACACAACAGACGTTTTAGTGGATGATTTTGTTCGAAGAAATATTGATGATTAAATCCTATCACTTCATGAATTCATCTTGCAATATGATGGTAGTCGGGGTGGGATGAAGATACATTTCCGGTACATGAGGACTAGCTTCAAAGCGTCGCAGTCAATTTTTCAGAACACTCCAGAAGCGCTGGAGTGATCACGCGTGCTGCTAGAAGGTTTCTCCGTGCGTCATAGAGAGAGAGTCTGTCACACGTGGAGTGGACAGAAGTGTTGCGGGGAGAGTGCCCAGGGCCCCCGCTGAACAGACGGATCTCTAACGATGAGTGGTTTCACGCGACCTGTAGGGATGAGAACCCCCGTGTGGCGATGTCTAATGATGCTCTATAAGACCCAAGGCACTGCCTTCACGCGTCAAAACTGCTAGTATGGAGACAGCCAGCAGAAATGTTCTAACATCACGTGTACCACGTAGTCTAGACGCATGCTTACTGAAAAGAGGCTAGTATACATCACATGCCTCGGGAATTCACGTGATATTTTTGAGGACTCTCGAGCTCTCCAAATCGTTCATTTGTCACGTCGACATTTCATCAACTTGAATTGAAGCTACGAGAAGAGTACTGTTAGTAAGATAGTAGAGATCACATGGTATGGCAGTTCATACCGAGGAGTTGGAAGATGATACTAAAAACCGCAGTAACATGCTCCTGAAATTAAATGTCTTCCTGTCACGACACTTTCCCATTACACGGTAGACCCGAACGCTATATAATCATTATCACATTCATCTTTTGATTTTCTTTTACAATGTCAAATAACACTGTTGCTGGTGGAATGGTGGACACTTTCCGATATATCGCGAATTGTGATGGTCCAGTACTAGCAATTACTCAGTGACCTGCATCCATGAATTTCCTTTCGCATTGCAATCACACTTCAATACTCCTTGGAATTCCTTTCTTGGAAACCGTTTTGTGACAAGCAATCTAGACATTATACTTAATAGTTAATTGTACCCCTGCTAATACTGCTGCTGTATTGCCTGTGGTGCATGCTATGATGCGCAGCTGGCCCTCCAAGCGCTAGGCAGTTTAGAAAGCCATTTGTATGTATCGGAGGTAACGTTAGTGCATGGAACCATTTAATGTGTATGCGTCGTGGCCGCAATTCGACCAGAATGCTTATGCTCACAGATTTTATTGTTATTTTCTTGCCGCAGACAGCAAAAACCCGTGGGAGAAAAAAGGGGGCAATATTTAGTCAATCAAGGGTAAGAAAATACATGTAAGTCATAATAGTACAGATTACCAATCTTCAAAGGGCTTTATCAGTGTTTATTATCCATGTCAATATCAATATCTAAGTTTGCGCTAACCATAAATATGTCAGTACATTTACTAAATCAAGTCTAAGTTACGGACCCTAGATTCAGCGAAAGATTCTTGTTTTGAACATGCAAATACATGTAATAATCATATGAACTTAGACTTGCGTGTCGACTTCAAGTTTGCCCAAGTTTAATTGTTCTGATCCTTTGCCCATTACATTAAGCGAGACTATATATTATGACCGTTTCAGGGGTGGCAACATTACGTGCGTTCAACTTTTAAGACTTCACAATGATTAACCAGTGTGCACGGTGCCCGACGTACAGTGGACAATGATTGGTAAATTTTTATTGTACATTGTATCATTCTGTTGGCCCACAGGCTCGATTTTCAAGAAACCTGCCAACTCAAGCCCCACTCAACGCTAATTAGGATATTAGACTCCTGTCTCATTTACATAACACAACCTTAGTCTTCAACGATCGAGTCATGATCAAGACAAGGTCGATCGTAGTAACTCCCGTTGTGATCTATCTTCAAGTTAGGCAGTGTTTTTGTAGGAGGACCACTGTAGCCTTCTTGGAGCCATAGAATCCCCTTGACACCATACCGCCATCGATCGGAGGATATGCAGAGACAAAACACATGCACATGCTGGCCAGAGATGTCCTATATTTTTGATAGCACTGCACTAGTACTATAATTACTATAAACATTGTATGCATCATGACTAGGTGACATCATTTCAGAATGTCTGCAATACTCGTACTTTTTTCTCTATGCAAATTTGGTTAATCTTATCCATTTTAACTCCAACTTCAGAGTCGAGAAACTTCAGAAAGTGTACATGCCCATATATTTTTTCCATTCAAGTTATACTTTGTGTATATATAAACGATTTATAACCCCTTTTCATTGTTTGCTGATTGACATGTTACATGTGGAGAAAAGCTGACAGGAAAAAAACCCAATGCAGAATGACACAGAAATAATGCAATGTATTAAACTAACAACGATTGTTTACACCTACACTTTCCTTTTCAGCACCTCCCCCACCCCCACCATTTCTGGTTCGTCCCGGAGTTGAAACATGTTAAATATTACTTTACAAGACAGACACAGATGAGGAGTCTACCCACTCAGGCGCCTGCTATGTTTATCTGTACGTTGATGCAAGGAATGGCCCCATGTACTGTATTAATGGGAACCTCTGAATAGACAGCTCAGTATAAAGGCATTTGCGAAATCCGGACGGTTTCCTGGATTTTTTGCAAGGGCGCTGTGAAAGTTTAATTACGAGACGAACTCTTGCGTACCTGTTTAACCGGTGTGGGGTATATTTTGACAGTTGTTTGAAAGCGATATACTAGTAAGTAATGCAAAGAAAAGTGACATTCAGTCAAGGACAAACCAAAGGCTAACTTAATAACGACACCAGTCAAAATAACAAAGCAATTAAAGGGATAAAATCAATCAACCGATAATAACAATCAATCAATAATAGCAAAGACATAAGAAATACAAAATTTTGGAAACCAAATACAAAATTTTACATACAATGTATTTCTAACAGAAGTTCAAAGGGTTGGAAAATGAAAACAAAAACCGATTTGAAAACATTTAAAAAAGTCTAAATTGACACCTTCCGGCAAGGCAGGAATTGAATGGTATGGGAAGATAATGAGTATGAGAATTATAAGAAATGAGAAGGTATGAGAAATATAATCAACCGATATTAACTAACTCATGAGTTAGCTAACTGTTTTATGCGCTCAATCCGACTTGTAAGACGAAAATATATAAAAAGAAATGACCTTGATGAGGTTCAAATCAATCAAAAGAGAAGTGAAACAATAACACTGATTCAATCGGAAAAAACATCTCTTTTTTTAGAACACAATCAAACTTATTGTTTGATTTTCTATATATGTTTGAGTTTGAAACTTTGATTTGAAAGTCTTCACCAAGGCCGGAAAGTTGTTTATACAATTGAACTAATTGTAGGTGTATGACTAGACAGGAAAGGTTGGGGGATTTCCGCTGGTTTTCGCACCTGGCGACACACCTTGACGTCCGCCTGTCTTGGAACCCACATTGTATGGTAATATGGGAACCGCCGACGGCTCGGTAGGGAGAATTTACTGTTGATCAGAATGGCTATTCGTGACGACGTAGCCACGGAACAGCGCATTCTGTAATACCGAATGGAAATAAGAACGGTATTGTTATATAAGAAGGTGTGATAGTATCTCTTTTCTCACATCCTTCACCCTAGGAGATCAGCTTCTTTCCGTTTTCCGGGCAAAACGGTAGAAAAAATCCTATTTTTGACAGACGGAAGCTCCACCCGCTAGATTCTCCTAATGAATAGAATGTCGTCATGTAGGCTGTTCTAGTTATCGCCGTTTCTTGTGATATGAGGATAATAAATATGCAAAATTACAATATCATGGACAGTTTTTTTACCTTTATTGTCATAAAACGATAGAATTGTATATTGTGTTTTGCAAAATTGCAGTTATTAGTTTTGCTTACTTGAAGTGAGCTATGATTATGCTGAAATATAACGACATTATTTTAGTGCGTCCACCAGATTGCACAGCCACATGTGATTTCCAAATCGCCTGACGTCACCTCATTAGTTATTTATCCCTTTCCACTAAACAGTCCGCCATCTTGGAGAGAAGGGAAGGGAACATCTCATTTTTTTTACTCATTTTCAAACATCAAGAGCGTCGACAGCGGACAAGAAAAGGGAAACTATGATTATAAGGTGGTCGGTCCTTCTACTAGCACTGCTGTGCGGTGTTCTAGCAGGTAAGCGTTCCGTTTTGGGCTCGTTTCTGGGGGGAAATACTCAGGGGCTTCGGCGCAAGTATACTGCGGGGTCCAGAGATGAATGTCATTACGCAAATATGTGATCTCTCCGTCCAAATTT